ATGTGTAGCCTGTATAATTAAAAATTGTAAACCGCCCGGAGAGTGCTTGTAGCGCTATGGGGCGGTATATAAGTCCAATAAATAAATAAATAAATAAATAAATAAATAAATAAATAAATCTAAGTATGTAAGTCAATATTTTCCTATGAGAGCGGTTCTTAAGTCAAAATGTTCTTAACTCGAGCCGTTCTTAAGTCAAGACCCCACTGTACAACTTTTAAACAGTAATGTAGGACACCCCTATGTGTAGTCTTCACCCCCTGGTTCCTTCACACCTGGGAGGATCAGTGGTTCACATCAGCCTGCTTAGAGCTGCAGGTTTGTATGTTAGTCAGCTGAAGACACCTTGGCTGCCACTCAAGACACAAAACTTTAAGGCCAAATAAGGAGTTGATACCATGGTCTCAGGATCAAAACCCATGGAATGGAATCTTCTGTGAAGATGCTGACAGTGGGAGGTCTAAGTGGGAACGGCCTGTCTCTGTGCCACCCAGACTTCATTCCTGGTGGATTTTCTTTAGGGACTGTTATGCTTGAATCTGCTTTCCTGCATCTTTTGGACAGTCGTGGCCTGCGGCTTGGGGTAAAAACCAATATCAAGTACAGCTGGAATGCATGGATGTAGAGGAGCCGTGTCCTCCGATGATGGTGGCAAGTCAGCTTTGTTCCTACTCTCAGGAAATGTCCAAGACTGCCACAAGCCAAACCATCCTGTGATGAGAAGATGAAGCTTATCACTGTAAAGCGCATGTGAGTCTGGAACCACCGTTTGGAGGACGTTGGGGACAGCTTGTGATCTAAACAGGGATAGAGGTGTTTTTCCGCACCATTTCAGGGTAAGACGCCTCCATGGCTCAGATAGTGGGCCACCCCTGCAGAAGACCCAAACTGTGTATGCCCTTGACATCAAAATCCTCCATAGTCCATCCGATTTTTTTACTTCAGAGCATTGACGGATTGCCACAAGGAACAAATGTCAATTACAATTTCATTAACTGTGCATGCTGCTCCTAAGGGCAGCCAACCTGAAACAGCTCAGAACTGGTCAAACGAACATATTCTAGAACGACATGTCCTCAAACAAGGTCATCCACCACATTTCTGCGTCAAACAAACATACTGTATTCTAGAACGACATGCCCTCAAACAAGGTCATCCACCACATTTCTGCATGAGTTGCTGTTCTAGGCATGCTCCCTCTTCAGTCCTTTTCAATGTGTGTGGGAATGAGGCCCCCCAAAGCCTCTTTTCGGTCTGAGAGACGCTGGCCCAACATGTACAGCATACAAAGCGCATTGTCTTACCATCACTTTCTTGAAGCACCGTTGTTTCCAGTTATATGGAGAACTCAGGATAAGAGATGATGCCTCAGCATACCTATCACAGTAGGCCAGGGAATAGCAATGGCCTTGGCTTAACCATGGCCATGCACCACGATGGCCAGTCACTGTTGCTTCCAGTAGGAGCTGCTAAACGAACCACATGTCTTCATTGTGTGATTTCTTTACTGCATCATGTGAAGCTGGCTGCAACTGGTGCTCTGGCTTGTTCAACCTACAAACAACCCACTGTGCGGGCTGCTGTTTTATCTGCACATCATGCGACACAAAGCTCATGGCTACAGGAATAACGATTGAGTGCTGATGTGAGCCTCAGGCTATGTCTGTCCTATTAACTTAAAACTATTTTAACAGCTCTCCTGTATCAGCCACGTTGTGAACCCTAGGGAATGTTGCTTTCAGTTCCCCACCCAAGAGTCCTCTGCTATATCACAAATCTATAATCAGGGCTGTATGCACTTTGCAGAAAGAAAAGAAAAAATAGGCTAAACTCTGGGATGTGGTTGAGCCACATTTTGCACTCTGCTTAATTATGCAAATATGCATAATTCTGTTCTGCAAAATGTATTCTGCTTCTGCTAATTGTGAGAAAAGAGAGGAAGCTATGTAGAATACTAAAGTTGTATAATCTGGCAACCGCATTCAGCAACTTCTCTCATTCTGCAGACTACCAGGCTTTGAATAAGTGTTGTATCTTTCAGCCATGAGGACTAGAAAATTGAAGCTCTTGGGAAATTGAATTCCGTGATTTAGGTTTATATTCCGCCATTATGATTTTTATCCAATACTTGCTCAGAATTGTAATAAATAATTCAACCCTGGGTATATTTCCATGAATCCTTTCACTTAAAGTTTTGAAACCTTCTTATCTATGAGAATCGTTGGATGATCCTGAGTTCATCTATCTTTGGCTAAAGTAGGATAACCATCACACACCCTACATGTAAGGAAGGTGTGGAAAATTCAGAAATCCAGTATGTGTGTGTTTTTATCTTAACGTATCTGATGCCTAGCGGACTGAACTCCAGTATTAGATCCTGGGCCACATGGCTTCTTAGTACTGTAAGTATGACAGTTCACGTCTGATGCCTAGCGGACTGTATTAGATCCTGGGCCACATGACTTCTTAGTACTGTAAGTATGACAGTTCACAAGGATTCTTCCTTTCCATCTAGCACAGCTAGATAAGCAAGATCTTGTCACTGGACTCCAGAAACGATCCTAGTCAGAAAATTTGAAACAATCTTCAATTTCATTTATTAAGAGTATAACTCAAATCCAGAATCCAATTTATTGTACCCCTGCAACAATTTTTGTTGTTTAGTTAAGTCGTGTCCAACTTTTCGTGACCCCATGAACCAGAACACGCCAGGCCCTCCTGTCTTCCACTGCCTCCTGGAATTTGGTCAAATAAGGAAGTCTTGTTGGTTTCAAGAAGCCCTAAGCTTAACTGTGTAGATTTATAGTAAATGAACATACCCAGTCATCGTTGTTGCAAAGATAATATTTGCAGTGCAGTCTTAGCTTGGATAGCTTTATATTCCTCTACAGGGGTTAGATCTGTACATAGTTGTACATACCTACAAGAGCTAAATAAAGACTCCGTTATTGGATTTACATACCTATAAATCTTTAAAAATCAATTTAAAACATGGATGGACATACCTATAAATCTTTAAAAATCAATTAAAAACATGGATGTTTATTCAGACCTTCCCTCCAGGCAGTACTTGAACCTTTTCTTTTTATTTTCTTTACTTATTCTTTACTCTATTTTTCCGTCTTGTAAATTGTTATTAGAAGATACGCAATAATTCTTGTGTTATTTTTATTAGTTGTTTTATGTTGTATTGGAAGCCGCCTAGAGTGGTCGCAAGACCAGATAGGCGGGGCACAAATTAAATAAATAAATAAATAATGCTATTCAGTATGCAGGGTGTTCTGGAGAACAAAAAAAGAGGCTGTTATACTCCTGGCTTCTTTGTTCATGATGAGCAGTTCTTATAAGAACATAAACATTCAGATGAATCAGGCCAAAGATCCATCTAGTCTTAACGTTTTGTCTCCATAGTAGACATCTAGTGCCTGTGAGAAACTCACCAACAGAACATGAGTGCAGCAACATCCTCCAGTTCATGCTGCTCGAATACTGATAGAGGTGTGCCGCCATTTGTATTGCAGGGTGGAATATATATATCCACTGTGAGGTGTAGTCACTGAGAACAACTGGTACCTTGTTCAATAAGGCTAGTTCCTGCTCAAAGCCATCAGTGTGCATGGCCATCACTGCATCTTGTAGTAGCAAACTCCATCATTTTCAATTGTACATGGTGTATGGAAAAGTCCTTCCGTTGGCTCTCATGAACCTCTCATCATAATTGGGCTCCAGTGGATGGAATTTCTTTCAGAGGCTGACCTGCTGTTTGTGAGGTGTCATATTTTGTTGGAAGAATGGAAAGTATTTTTTGCAAAACAGAATTGCATAAGTGTGGGGAGCGATGTTGGGTACATTTTGGCACCTTTTAAATGTTCCATAATTGTCTAATAGTGCAGTGGCCCCCAACCTGGGGCCTCCAGATGTTCTTGGACTTCAACTCCCAGAAATCCTGGCCAGCAGAGGTGCTGGTGAAGGCTTCTGGGAGTTGTAGTCCAAGAACAATTGGAGGCCCAAGACTGGGGACCACTATACAGTGGTGCCCCGTATAGCGATGTTAGGACAGATTGATTTAATTTAGGAAGAGGAAAGAAATCTAAGCTGGGAGGTTACAGCGTCCTTGTCTTGACTCAAAGGGAACTTAGTGGACAGTTTGATTTAATTTAGGGAGAGGAAAGAAATCTAAGCTGGGAGGTTCCAGCGTCCTTGTCTTGACTCAAAGGGAACTCTGCAAGGCACATATGAATTTGTCTCCCACTGGATCCAACCATCCTATGCTATCTGGTGGAGTCTGGTAATTGTAGTCCAAAAAGTAATTTTTCCAAGCAATATACCTAAGGTTTCTCCCCCTCCAAACACTCTGGAACATTTTGTGTCTGGAAGTGTACACAATGGCTAAAGATTGCCTCTGTGATCACCAAAGTTCTCTCGCATGTCCCAAAATATTTGAGCAATTGGATTTTGTTTCACACATTCATAGGTCATTGTTCCAATGGGATTTTTCATATACTGTACTTAATTTTTATGTGGCTAATAAAGGAAGCTTCTCCCAAAATCGTTTGTAGGCTTTATCCCCTGTATGGATTCCCTTCTCCTTAATAAGTTGGAACTTGGAGTTGAAATTTGTCCCATAGTTGGACTTGCTACATAATTGATCAGCATTGGGAATAAAGTCCTTGTTAGTCATGAATGCTGATATGTTTTGTTTTCCATGTGGATGACTCTGCACAAGGCTGCCATTCTGTATGGATAAAGGACTTGAAAGGGCGGCCTATCTGATGCTTAAGGAGGTCCACATTTTGACAGAAACTCTCCTTAGGTTTTCAGCATTTAGCAAGGTCCAAAATGAGGTCGATGTATCTGCTTGGAGAATATTCCATGGGCGTTTCCCTATTGCAGGAGAGTTTATTAAATTTCTTATTCAGTAAACAATGATATTTCAGGGAAGCTTTTATCTCCTAGAAGGCAATCCCGGGAAGTCTTTTCCAGTTTGATTTTCTGATGCTTGGCGGGAAAGGAGCTGTGAATTGTCCAGACATTCTGAGGGTTTCTTCTTGGGTTAGCCTCTTTGATGAGCAATGAATCAGGAAAAAGGACAGCCTTTCCTCCCCTCTGTGTAAACATCAGACACACGTTCAGGTTCAGCTTTTGGGGGCACTGTGCCATTTGCTCCAAGGATACAGATCAAGCGCAAAGTCGGCCAGTTTTGAGGGCACAGTTCTCGTTACATTTTGACAGCAAGCGACACGTGTAGGTTTTCCGTTGTCATTGCTGACTCAGAAGAAAGTGCCATGTGGGGGGTGAATGGAAATTAGGTACAAGTACTCCCAGCGGGATGTGCAGGATCGAGGCCTTCGTTGTCTTAATTCCCCCACTAGGGGGCTCCCTAAGCACGGCGAGCCGAAAGGAAGGCCGCCTTCCCGACGACTCCTCTCTCTGGGCAAGGGTTTCACTTCCCGTCTAACGTAGACAGCCTTGGTCCAATCGACGTCCTCTCTGGCCAGACATAGGCTCCTCCCTTCGTCCTTATATGGCAAAGGAGGCGTGGCTAAAACACCATCTAAGCCTCCTCGTCGGAACGGAACTCTTTTGTAGTCACGTATCTGTCGAGTCGTTCCAGGCTGCGAGCTGTGTGAGGGCTGCCTGCTGGGAGGCTCCAGCGTCCTTGTCCGGCGAAGGAGCGGATTCACACGTGTCCCCCCCCCCTCCTAGACCGAGGAACGTTGAGGAAGGAGGAAAAGATGCTGCTTGGATGTTGACGAGGAAAGGCATCATCAGCCCAAGGTCTTGTCAGCGCATCTGCTTTGCATTGGAAGGAAGGGGAGCCTCTGGTAACTATCCTGTATGATTTGGATCGCCTTGAACAAGGACGTGGAGAAACTTGACCAGCTTGCACGTCAGAATCGTCTGAGCCGAGCCAGAAAAAGACCTCACCACTTGCATGTAACTATTTACAGCCCTCCCCCTGGATTTTGCTCAAAGGAATGGACTTTTAGGCTCAGCATCTCAGCAGAAAAACTGGTTCTGTTGTAGATTCCCCCACCCCCGTTTCTTCACTTATTTTTTTTTCCTGCCTCTGAAAACTGCCCTTCCTTGATTTCCTGTCTCCTCCCCCTGACCCCGCTCCAGTGCAGTTGAAAAATGTCCTTGCAGTACATTAAAAGTCAGAAAGGTAGAGACCAACTGCTCTATAAGGGATACTTGCATAAGAAAGAGCGGACAAGCGGAGACAAGATTTTATGGAAATGTGCCGACTACCACAAGTACCGTTGCACAGGGAGGGCCCATACGCACCATGGCCGCGTTATAAAGTATGTGCCCCATATGCATCCTCCCAGCAAGAGAGAAGAGGAAAACAATGCTGGAGTGTCTGAGGCAAAGGAAGCTCTCTCCACCCAAGAAACCGTTCGAAAAGCAGTTATGGCAAATGGGGAGGCATTGCCAGGGGCGGTAACGAATAAGAAGCCCCGTATCCAAAACAATCCGAAACAAACAATCCAACGCTTGAGAGCATGCTTAAATGCAACCCGTCAAAGCGCATCCGATGCACGGACACCTGCCACCATTGCTGGAGCAACAGTTGAAGGTCCTCCTTTACCATCCTCTCAGACATCCGGCCTGCAGGAGCCTTCTGCAAATGGTGGAGGTGGAGATTCGGTGGCCACCCCCATTCTTTGTATCAAGATAGAGGCGCCAGATGCACCCCATTGGGCATTAAACCACGCCAGCCAGGAAGCGAGTCGGCAGAGGTTCCGCTCACCAACCATCTGGCCTGAAGCCGCTCCTCTGGAGATCCTGTCCCAGTTGAGCGAGGCGGCACAGCAGTGGTTGCATCCTCAGGAACGTAACAAAGAGCAGATTGTGGACTTGGTGATCCTAGAACAGTTCCTGGATGTGCTCCCAGTGGAAATGCGGATGTGGGTAAAAGCCAGAGAGCCAGGCAGCAGCAAGGAGGCAGCGGAGCTGGCCGAGGCCTACATCAGGGAACAGAATCTACCAGGCCGCAGTGTTCAGGTATTGGCAATTAAAGATGCAATAGGGGCAATTGACTGAAATATCTTTGAAATTTAAAAAAAAAACAGTTATGCATCACATTCTAAGGTAGCATTGAGGGATGTGGTCCAGATCAGTCTTGTCCAGGAAGCACATTTACGGAAATAGCCCCAGAGCTGCTAAAATTTACTTTTTGTATTAAACTTCCCCATCTAGCATGCTCACTGGTTATAAAGTTGAATGAGTCGTCTCCTGGGCCAGAAATGGATTCTGTGATGTTTTCTTATACTAGAATATCCAATAGAAAGTAATTTGGAAAGGAATTATAAAGATTTAATAGAGCTGCACTATAGGGGAGGGGTTCAAATTATTTTGTGATTTTTGGACTTCAAGTAATGGCATCCCCTCAGTTTAAGAGTACCAGCTTTTTTGTTGGCAGAAACTCTGAAGTTTTCTCCTTTTAAAAATTCTGCAGAGTGTCATGAAGGAAGCACTGCTTGTTTATTATGCGTCTCTAGCAGAAAACACTTCCTGTCCATCTCAGTTTTTCTCTGTAAGAAAATCCAAGCCATCCTAGCGTTGGTCTCTTCTCCCTTGGCTCCTCATATCTGACTAGTTGGTACTTCCTGATTCATGCACAGATGGCACATTCATGCTCCCAGTCTGATTATATAAGCAATCTGAATGCTGTTAGCTTGACGTCTTTACTGGTACATATCATGTTTATGCTTTTACCAAACAGATGCATTGTAAGGTTTATCCTAATCCTAAAACCTTGCATAAATCTTTAGCCTCTTGCTATCTGGGCTATCATTCATCTAACACTTATTATTGTTAAAGAGAAATTTTGGGAGAAAGTACCATGCAACAGGAAAGAAATGAACGATTGTAAGCACTCAGCAATGCTGGAGCTAAGCACATCTGTCCTGAATGCTGTTTTACTGCTTACCTGTAGTCAAAAGCAAGGGGAAAGGAAATGATAACCTCACAATCCAGTGATTTTTTTAGCTAGTGATAAAAATGTGAGCTTATAAAGCAAGTTGAATTACTGTATATACTCAAGTATAAGCCGACCTGAATATAAGCCGAGGCACCCAATTTTACCACAAAAACTGAGAAAACTTATTGCCTCGAGTATAAGCTGAAGGTGGAAAATGCATTTGACTGAGGGTGGAAAATGCAGCAGCTACTGGTAAATTTCAAAAATAAAAATAGATAGCAATAAAATTACATTAATTGAGGCATCAGTAGGTTAAATGTTTTTGAAGATGCTGCCCTTCTGAGCTGCGAGACACTTCACTGCCTGCGGAAGAAGGACTCATACCGGATGCTGCGCTTATCTACTGCTCTACTGCTGTGTAACACGATGGAGGGAGATGGAGGAGGAAGGTGGGAGGAGGAAGGTGGGTACATAGAATATGCAGAAGGAGGAGGATGGGAGTGTCCTGGAAGCAGAAATGCAGTGTACTTAATCCAGGTCATCGGACCACCCGCAGAGGCTGCAGTCGAGTGTAGATGAACGGGGGAGTCCGGAGAACACCCGCACTGCAAGGTAGTCCAGAGAACACCTGCGCTGCAGGGGAGAATGTGTAATTTTGACCTGACTCGAGTATAAGCCAAGGGGGGTGCTGCACTGCAGTGGAGAACGTGTAATTTTGACCTGACTCGATTGTAAGCCAAAGGGGGGGTGCTTTTTCAGGAAAAATGTGCTGAAAAACTAGGCTTATACTCGAGTATACAGTATATTGAATTAGACCATTGGTCTAACTATCCCAGTATCATTGTTTGGATTGGCACTGGTACTCTAGTGATTACGTAAGGTGCTTTAGATACTGGGCTTGGAGAACGTGTAATTTTGACCTGACTCGATTGTAAGCCAAAGGGGGGGTGCTTTTTCAGGAAAAATGTGCTGAAAAACTAGGCTTATACTCGAGTATACAGTATATTGAATTAGACCATTGGTCTAACTATCCCAGTATCATTGTTTGGATTGGCACTGGTACTCTAGTGATTACGTAAGGTGCTTTAGATACTGGGCTTGATAAGTACATTCCCTGCTACTGACGGACAGCTCTCAGCTGTACTGTACAGTTCTCTTAAGGTCCCAACCAGGCTTGGCCTGATTCAGGTATGCAGGAAGATTTTGCTCTGGAATCAAGCGTGGAACCTCGTTTACATGGAACCAGTGACTCGCATCTTCGTTCCCCAAATGTTATTGTGACTAAAATATGCAGTATTGCTGACCAACCATGGTCAATGATGGCTGGAGATATTGGGAGTTGTAGCCCAGCAACATATGGAGAACTAGAATTGCCCTCAGCAGAATCCATGTGTATACCTTATACCCTCAAGCCCCACACAGAAGGAATATTAGGCATAAGTTTCACAAGGGCCCATTGCAACCCACTCTTTTGGCATGGTGTTTATCTTCTCAGGGAGATGGGCTTCAGGTGCAGCCTCTCCCATACCCCCTTACTAGGCAGTCACCTCAGGAAGGAGATGCTGGAAGGTTTCGGCAAAAGACAGGAAGACACAGCTGCAGGCTACATGGCTTTTGTGGTGCCCCTCAAGCAGCCCTCATTACCTGTCCAGATCAAGTAAGAGTCAGCGACCAGCCCAGTTGGCTTTTGAGCGTGGCATGGAAGGAGACGGCAGCCAAATGTCTCCGGCCACTTCAACCCACGGAGAGAGCCGTGCAGATAATTCAATATGGCATTCTTGTAAATGGCAATATATTTGGGAGATTTGTAATAGTCTCCTACTCTGTAAATTTACAGTGGCCAAAATCCTGTTGGTGCAGCTTCATGCATGTAAGGCTGCTGACATCATCAGCCTCATCATTTTATATTTAATTAGAAGTTTCCTTTTGAGAGAAGGCAGTGTTGATTTTTGGATAGTAAAGGCTGCACCCATCCCAGAGTCCACAACAGTTTCCTCAGGTCAAAAGGGGATGGCTAAAGGGACCCTTGGAATTAGGGTGGTGGAATTAGGTGGGAAGAAGGAACTTTTAATTAAAAATAAAAGGCTGAGGTTGATGACCTCATCAGCCTTAGATATATGGATTCCACCCATTAAGTATCCCACTACATTTTTTCACTTGGGCTTAAGGATCAACTAACATTCATATATACCCATCGAACACTGAGCTATTCATTTGCTTAAAAATTTACAGGAAACCTACAGCAAGAAATCTGCTCAGTAATCCAGCCTCAAAGCCAGTGCAAAAGATCATATTGTTAACAGAATATCCTTCTGATCATTTTAGGAACAGCTGACCTTTGAAGATGTATCAGTGCATTTCACTACAGAGGAGTGGGCTCTGCTGGACTACAGACAAAAAACTCTTTACTGGAATGTCATGCATCAGAATTATAATAATGTGGCCTTTCTGGGTAAGATTTTTTATTAAATTCCTGGGGTAAAGATCTAAAGGAATAAAAGAGTAGAACTGAACACTGTATTGCAGAGAATCTTGGATGGCAAAAATGGTATGATGGGCAGGGATGGGTAGGCTTCAGATTTGATGGAACTACTTTGTCTTCTACTAGAACACCATGGACCACCAGCCAGAGTCTAGATGCAAAATAGTTGCACCAGTAGACAGACATAGACAAAAAGTAAAGGAATACGATGCCTCTGAGCATATGATTGGCCCAGGAATTTCTGGACTCTGTGTGTGTGTGCGTGTGCGTGTGCGTGTGCGTGTGCGTGTGCGTGCGTGCATGCATGAATGCATGCATGCATGTGTGTGCACAACACATTCCTGTAGGACACAAGGAGTTTTTCTGTACCAAAAACATTTCCTGTGATGCCTCCGAGCATATGTTTGGCCCAGGTATTTCTGGACTCTGTGTGTGTGTGTGTGTGTGTGTGTGTGTGTGTGTGTGTGAGAGAGAGAGAGAGAGAGAGAGAGTGCGTGTGGGCGCACGCGCGTACGTACATAGGTACACACACATTCCTGTAGGGCACACGGAGTTTTTCTGTACCAAAAACATTTCCTGAAAAGAAATGTTTAATGTTGAGGTTACAGGGGTTTGGGGAATATATCTGGGCCCTGGGTGGGGTATATAGGCAGCTTATGAGCCACATGTCACCTACTCCTGCTATAAAATAAAACATAAATTAATTGAAAAAAAATCAGCTTTTCTTTCTTCTTCCTGCATCTTTTCTCCTCGTTGTGCATGTTCTACACTTCCCATCCTTGCTGTAGAAAAAGAACAGCAGAAAACCCATGGGGAACATTGAAACAGAATGAGGCATTATGATGTGGGTTGGGCAAGTTCTTTTTAAGTGACTGTTCCAGTGCCTAAACAACAAAGCATTGTATGACACTGTAAAGACAATCACGTGTTATGATGTGGAGTGTAGTCTACAAAACATTTTAACATATATATTTTAGTTTTCAAGGCACCACAATATATTGTTTCAAAAGATTATCAGTATCTGCCAGTGTCTAATTTCTGGTGTCTGAGATTTATTTCTTTAAACACTACCTTTCTCCCTATAAGGCATCCAAGGTGGCTGAACAGATAAAGTAAGAAATCTAAAACACTATATAAATATCACATTTAAAAAACAAATATACACTAAGATTTTAAAAATTAAGTATTAAAACAATTGAAAAACATTTTAAAAACCCTGTAAGCTGCAAAGTTAAAAACCAACATTCCTGAATTATTAAAGGTAAAGGTAAAGGTTCCCCTTATTTTAAAAACCCTGTAAGCTGAAAAGTTAAAAACCAACTTTCCTGAGATTATTAAAGGTAAAGGTTCCCCTTGATAATTTTTGTCCAGTCATGTTCGACTCTAGGGGGCAGTGCTCATCCCTGTTTCCAAGCCATAGAGCCAGCATTTTGTCCGAAGACAATCTTCCGTGGTCACATGGCCAGTGCGACTTAGACACGGAACGCTGTTACCTTCCCACCAAGGTGGTACCTATTTATCTACTCGCATTTGCATGCTTTCGAACTGCTAGGTTGGCGGGAGCTGGGACAAGCGACAGGAGCTCACTCCATTGCGTGGATTCGATCTTACGACTGCTGGTCTTCTGACCCTGCAGCACAGGCTTCTGTGGACCCTTCAGCCCACAGCGCCACCACGTCCCTGAGATTATTACTTAATGCTTAAAGGCCTGCCTGAAGAGGAAGGTCTTTGCCTGATGACAAAAGGACAAGAGGGAGGGGGGCCAACTTGGCTTCTCAGGACAGAGCATCCCAAAGTCTGGGAGCAGCCACTGAGAAGGCCTTCCCTCTTGTCCTCACCAAGCAAGCTTGGGAAGGTGATGGAACTGAGAGAAGAGCCTCCTTATAAAGAGATGATTTATAAATAATGGTAAATTTAATGTTATGGATTTTTTTTTTAAATGTAGTAGGCTCTCAAGCAGAGATTGCTTTCTGGATTTAAGGAGTGACTTGATTCTTCTCTTTGCTTCAGCAGGTGGTGGGATAGATGGTCTCCATAAAGCTCCAGCCCCTCAACAGGAAAGTCCCGCACATGTGGTGGAATTGTCAGAAATATGTAAAGAAACATTTTCCCAAGGTTCTGAACTAAGCTTGGTCAGGGAGAACTGTCTGGATAGGCAGCAGAAAAACAGCTCAGGAGAAGAGGAAGAAAAGTCCATTAATGTGAGAACGGACTTGAGGAAACTTGACAGAGACACAGTTGATCTAGAAGCTGAACTAGGGGTACATCCATGGTGTATTTGTTCAGACTGTGAGAAACTATGCCAGTCCTTAACACGTCTTGATAATCAGGAAAGCCCCAGGAAAGAAGACCTGAAATCTATGATGCTTCCTGAGGATTCATATGAAATATCTGAGAAGAATCATTCCCAGAATCCTAAAGGAAAAAATGAAGAGGGCCAAAATAATGTGGAGAAGCAACAGCCAAACCATGTGGGAAATGAAGAAGAGAAGTGCATTCTGTTGAGGAATCCAGATCTTCAAGACACTAAACTAGCTCAGTATGTGTGTACTGATGATGCAGAACAGGTTGAATCATCAGCACTTGTCAGTAATCATAATCCCAGTGGGGAAGGTGCCAGGTTGGTAATACTACCTGAAGAATCACAGCAAGTTTGGAAGGAGGGAGCTTCCCAGAGCCACAGGCAAGATATGCTGCTTGGCCCTGGGCCTATTTGCCCAACATTGAGTTCCCCAGAGCTGAATGGAGTTGCAGAACATATCAGTGGGAACCAGAACATTTTGGTAAGCCACGAGGGTAACAGATCAGGTGATAAAGCAGAGCAGAAGAAACTCATTCTTTTTGAAGACAGTATGGAAGAACCAGCCAGAGAGATGCTTCACCCCAGTGTTAATCCAACCCCGAAAGCCCAGTGTACATGCGCTAATTGTGGGAGTCAAGATGAATCCCCAGAGCACAATGACTGTCAGAAAATCATCCATGGGGAAGACCTGTATACATGCCCTAAGTGTGCAACACTTTTCCCCCAAAATTCAGATCAAGTCACACAGCATAGCTGCTCTGATTCTGAAGGAAATTCCAGCAGCCTGTCAACATCTATAAAACACAGAAAATCTGTCAAAAGGGGGAAATATTTTAAGGGGAGAAACATACACATTAAATGCATTCTTGGGGCACATCAGAGAATTCACCCAAGAAGGAAACTTTGGAAAGACTGGAGCTTCTACAGACAAAGTGGGTGCAGGCCCCTTGGATCAGGAAAGGATCTGAGGAAACAGAACATGTTAAAATCCAGTACTCGGAATTGTGAGCCACTGCATCAGACTACAGAGACAGTCAAACTATCATGTGAGCCTTCTTCAAACCCTAAATACCTGGAACCTCAGCAAATATCTTCTTCACCTCCCTTTTTAGACAGCATAGCTGCTGAGCCAACTTTAATGCACTTAATTACTCTCCTGCAGCAAGTGGCTACAGATACTGCGGAAATCAAAACTGCCGTCTCCAGCCTGCACACCACAGTCACTGGCATCCAGAATGCCCTAGGAAGTTTCCCTGGATCTACAGATGAGACTGAGCACAGGATTTCCAACTTAGAGGACACCTCCCGGAACACCAAAGCTCAGCTTGTGCAGCACTGCAATGATATTAAAGCGATTGAGGCCAAACTGGTTGGGAAAGGGGTTCAGAACAATGTCATAGCAGGATTGTGGTCATCCTTGAAGGTCAACAGAGGGCCAAGCCCTCTGAATTTATCTCCTAATTCATGAGAAAGAAGTGCTCCATATTCTTTACTTTTTCCTCAGAGAGTGGCCAATGTCTCAGGAGAAGTAGGATTAAACTACCCCAGCTAAAGTGTCCACGGCCTGTGAAAGCAGGCCTCCTTTTTTGCCTTCTGAGAGAAGCTTTGCAAGCTTCTGAATCTGCACTTGTTTCAATAAGCCATTGGTGGTCACTTGAAAAGAAAATGTTGATGACCTTGGCACTGCCACTCTTGAAACAAAACCTTGACCTGGTGGTTGCTGATCACCACCTTTAAACACTTTTCCAACCCAAATGACCAGAAGCCAGATTTGGGAGTAGATGCCCATGAGGCTTTTCTGTCTTCTTTTGGTTCTCTTAACTTCTGTTCCTCCTGCTCCTGTGGTTAGACTGATACTCCTAAGGTTCATCTATCACATTTTCCTCCTGTTTCTTAGGAATAGATTTGTTGTTACTTCTTTCCCTAGTGCTGTCTCGGGCACATGTCTGTCAAGCTAGCATTAGGGCTTACGCAAATGTGACTTTCGAAATAGAGGTTAGTTGTTTGTTTTTTAACTGCTGCTTCTGCTTTTTTGTGGATCTGTGGTGGAACTGATTGCCCACATGTCTATGCAGCAACTACAGTGGTGCCTCGACTTACAAACTATGCAGCAACTGGTGCCTCGACTTAGAAACTTAATTGGTTCCGGAACTCCGGTCGTAACTCGAAATGGTCGTAAGTCGAAGCACCATTTCCTATAGGAATGTGTTGAAATGTAATTAATCTGTTCTGGCCGAAGGGGAAAAAATCATCAAAAAAGCCCACACAGCACTGCAAGACCCATTGGAAACATGATTAATCCATTGCGGCCAAAGGGAATAAAAAAGAAAGAAAAGCAAACAAACTGTGCAAGAAATGCAAAAAAAAGCAAAGCAGAAAGCAAAGAAATCGTGCAAGACCCATCAGAAAAGGGGGGGGGCACCAAAAAACAAACAAACCCTGCAAAACCCATCACAGCATATAAACATAATCCCACCACCCAGCCCAAGCCCACCCTGCAACCCCCCCCAAAACAGTTTTTTTTAAAAACAGAAAGCAGCACCCTACCTTAACAGGCAGTCCGAAGCCTCCTTTGATCGCACTTACTCTAACTGCTGGGGCGAAAGAGCTACAAAGAAGCAGCCTCTTCGCCTACCAACAGTTAGCAATTTAAATTCCCCGCCTTTTTCCCTGCCTTTTTCTGTTCATAACTGGAAGCTTCGGCTGCAAATCGAAGCAACATTTGCGGCTGGAGCTGGTCGTAACTCGAAATGGTCATATGTCAGGACGTTCGTAAGTCAAGTCACCACTGTACTCTGCTATGGAGAGGGAACTTAATATTTTTCTTCTCTCTTACCTTGTGAACCATTGGTCCAGATAGGCGGGATAAAAATCAAATAAATAAATAAATGAACATTCACTACACAAAAGACAGGAGAATAGAACTCCACTAGGAAGCAAAGTGGAATAAAAGCACAATGAGGTTCATTCTCCCATCTTCTCATATAGAAGGCAATAGGCTAAATCCACTTGTTAGTCCCAATTAGAGTAGACTCGCTGAATGAATGCAAATTGTTCAGTCAACACGTCTGTTTTCTTTCATATGTGCTACCAGGTTGCCTTTCTTATACAGACCTTTGTAGGGTTCTCGAGATATGTAAAATATTTAAGGAGTTTTTTTTTTCCAGTACCACACTCCTCTGTGAGTTTCCATAATCAGGTGGGAATTTGAACTCAGGTCTCCTGATTTCCAGTCCATCTCTCCCCTATACCATATAAGTTTTAACACATGTGAAAATCCCACTCATTTAGTGGATCTACTTTAGTTCGGAATAATAATTGGACTTAGCTCATCATATTTTATTGATGTTATCATTTGAATTTATAGACATGGGAAGAACTTGTAAAAGTTCTGTTTTGGGATGCATTCCATGGGCAGTAAGCCATGCAGACTGTGGTACTTTGGGAATTGTAGTCCAAAGAAGAACTTTTCTAAACTCAGTTTGAAAGGAATAGACCTTCTTCGGTATTTGTTGCCAGACACTGATATTTAGAACAAGAGCTTGCAGAAAATGGATTCCTAGTTGATGTAGATCTGAGAGGAATCTGACTCAAACTATGTAACAATAACAGCAACAAAAGGAGATTGAGAATACTGGGGTGGGGGGCAGGAGGGGATATCCCTCAGTCGTGGTACTTAAATAAATTCCTGAGCTAAACATGGACATAAGAGTCACCTGTAAGCCTATGCTTTCTCTCCGTACCCGTATTCCATCCACAGACCACTTTTCCGTTCTAGTTGAAAAACAATCATCCACAACTTAGTGGTTTTAGCAAAGCCTGGAGCCTCTGCTGTCCCACGGTCAGCACAAATGATCTGCTATATGTCTTTGATGAGCTCCGTATTATTCATTATGCACCAATAAAGTGTTCAATGCATTTCCATTCTTGAGTCTGTAGTCCTTTATCTCTTACATAGGCTTTACCCAGTGGGTTGCAAAACATTAAAAACTGATTTAGCAGAAAATCGGGGGAATAATGATGGTAATATAAAACACAGAATATACGGTTCCTTCCATTTGATCTTAACATCTTTCAGTCTGCCAATAGACTTGAAAGGAAATTTGCCTGGGTTGATTGAATTCTGGCAACTTAATAGTATTAAAGTAAGACCAGGACCTATCTCTTGAGTTTGGGAGTCATAAAGCAACAGAAGTACAGTAGTAGTAGCATCCTGTTTCCCTGAAAATAACTTCCATCTAACCTTAACACTTTTCAGTTATCTGACCACAGACCTGGAGGGAAATTTGCCTTGGTCAGTAGAATTGTGACTACTTGGTCAAGTTACAGTCTTACCTCAGCAAACTGCTGCTGAGAGATTTCTGCTCTACTGCTTTCAATCCCGCTCTTTTCTTCCATGCCTTAACATTCATACAATATCACTGAAGTTCATTTTGGAGGGTCTGTGGAATACATTGTCAACCATCTGCAGGTGATATGCAGCTCTTCCCTTAATAACTAGATTACACCGTGCCAGTTCTTAGACTTGATAAGAGACCAGACAGACTGATGCTAAACCCAAATTATACTTCAACACTGCTGTTTGGCTCTGGACGACTGACTGAAGGGTGCCATTCCCCTTGAATGGCTGTGGAATCGGCTAAGTTGCTTCTAGATCCTCCATTAAGAAACAGATACTGTAATATACAGTATGTAAATCTGCCTTTGGAGATGGCTCAGAAGCTGCAATTGTAGCAAAATAGCGCTGGAAGAGTATTGATTGGGACCAGTCATTATGATCTTTGTTATGCCATTCTTCTCTTGTGTGCATTGGCTTTCTTCCACTTCGTTCGTTTAGTCGTTTAGTCGTGTCCGACTCTTCGTGACCCCATGGACCAGAGCACGCCAGGCCCTCCTATCTTCTACTGCCTCCCAGAGTTGTGTCAAATTCATGCTGGTTGCTTCGCAGACACTGTCCAGCCATCTCATCCTTGGTCGTCCCCTTCTCCTCTTGCCATCACACTTTCCCAACATCAGGGTCTTTTCCAGGGAGTCTTTTCTTCTCATTAGATGGCCAAAGTACTGGAGCCTCAGCTTCAGGATCTGTCCTTCCAGTGAGCACTCAGTTCTGGTTGTCATTGAGAGTGTTCTTCTTGGCCTATAAAATTGTGTGACACTTGGAAATTCCAATACCAGATGTAAAGCTTCCTGCCATATTTACCTATCTGTGTCTTAAGGTTATTCATGGTACCCTTCCTCCCAGGTACCTTCTCATCCTAACGTAAAGCCAAATGGTGACCAAAAAGAAAACCTTTTCAAAACCTTTTTCAAAGAAAACCTTTTCAATACTGTTCCCATGCTCTTCCAAGAGATGTTTACTTGGCACAAAAGTAGGGTACAAATCAAATGTTGTTGGAAAATTTGGCCTAGGGTACAGAAATGAAGCAGGAGAACAACTCATGGAGTTCTGTGACGCCAGCAATTTGTTTTATTGCAAATATATGTTTCAGGCAATCAAACAGATGGCTATACATGTGGATATCACCAGATAATCAAACAGACTATGTAATTTTAAGCGAGAGGAGAAGATGCTGTGTTATCTCAGCCAAAACAATATCAGGAGCAGATTGTAGTACAGTAGGACCTCCTTATCCATGGGATCAGTATATTCTGATTCACTTGTTCACAGTCGGAAAATATTAAAACAAAAATACTGGCTACTAGAGGCAGCCAAAGACCATGCCATGTATAGCAGATGCTATTATGAATGTGTTTGCTTTAATCTGGATTTTTCAGCATCTGCAAGGAGTGGGGGCTTGGAACCATTTCCCTGTGGATATAGGGGTACTAATCATTAACTGCTGATATCCAATATCAAAGTAAAGCCGAAAAAAGACACTAAAAGAATTGCAGTGCCAAAATATAATCTAAACAACATTCCTGATGAATTTAAAGTCCACATAAATAACAATTTGCATCACTAAATTAAATTGACTGTGAACCCAAAGTACTATGGAGACAAACAAGAGATAAAGAGAAAAGAAAAGCCTAGATGGATGAAAGAAGAAATGTTTAAAATTGCAAAAGGACAGACAAGAAGCAAAAGTAAAAGATGATAGAAGTAGGGTCAGAACACTGAATGCATTTTTTTCAGTGTCTGTCACATAGAGACAAAGAAAATTACTACAACAACTAGTGCAAAAAAAATAGAGGTGAAGGGGGGGGAGAGAGGTCTCTTCCAGAAAATCCAAGAAATCAAAGGGAAATTCAAGCCTACATTAGGAATGCTGAATGACTAACAGGGAAACTATCTGGTCAGGAGAAAATAAAGAGAAGGTAGAAGTAGTATACTGAAGACCTATAGAGAAGGAATGAAAGGATAACAGACACTTTTAAAGAGGTGACAAAGAACCTGCAATTCTAGAAAGTGAGGTGAAAGCCGCTCTGAAAAGCACTAGAAAGAAAGAAATCACCAGAGACAGACGAGATGCCAATAAAACTGTTTCACTCCACAGAGACTCAATCTATAAAAATCCTAACAAGAATATACCGGCAAATATGAAAAACAAAACAATGGCCCACATTCAATCTATAAAAAATCCTAACAAGAATACACCAGCAAATATGAAAAATGAAACAATGGCCCTCAGAATGGAAATGCTCAATGTATGTACATTCCGGTCACTAAGAAAGCAGATGCCAAGGAGTTCAGAAGAACACAAGATTCTCTGGAAATGGCAATAAAGCTGGGAAAGGCGGAAGCCGACAGGGGAAAAAAGGAAGAGCAAATACAAAATGGTCTGACTCCCTCTAAGAGAAACCACAGGCTTGATTTACAGGAGCTGAGCAGGGCAGTTGAGGCTGACAGGGAAAAAAAGGAAGAGCAAATACAAGATGGTCTGACTCCCGCTAAGAGAAACCACAGGCTTGACTTTACAGGAGCTGAGCAGGGCAGTTGAGGACAGGACATTTTAGAGTCTGCTAATTTGTAGGGTTGCCGTATGTCAGGGGTGGTTTGACAGCACATAACAACAGTTCACAAACAACGTTTCCAAGCTCTAACAAAGAGTCTGATGAGATCCCTAGATGTTCTTGAACTAAAACTCCCAGAAGCCTTCACCGCTAGCTCTGGTGGCCAGGATTTAAGGGGGTTTGCAGTCCAAGAACTTCTGGGGATCCTGGGCTGGTCGGTGGACTTCAGCTTTTGCGCACTTGTTTAGGCGTGTGCGCTGGAAACTGGGCAATGTGCAGTTGCCTGGCAAACAAGCTCATTGTCTGCAGACACTCAAGCCGAAATAAGCCGACTTCAGAGACCGCTGTGGCTTGCTGAGAAACAAGGCAACGCGAATCCGCGGGCGCCTTCCTCCATGACAGGTAAGGGAGACGAAGCGGTCGGGCCGGCCACCAGAGGGCGCTGCTTCCTGCTAAGGCCGAGCGGCCATTTCCCCGCCTCTCTCAGCCTCCCCTGCGTTCTCTCCGAGGTATCAGGGGGCTGAGCTTCCTAGGTCACCCGGGCAATGGGCGGCGAGGGGAGGGGTGGGGACGTCGGGAAGTGGCTCCGCCTCCTAGAGAAAGCTCTGCCTGGGAGAGGCTCTTTCTCCCCCCGCCTCCCGCCGCCGGCCGAAAGGGAGAACTGCGGCTGGCCTCAGGCTCCCTTGGGGGGAGGGGGCACCCCCGGGCACCGCAGCGGTTAACCCTTCCGCAGCCGGAGCCTTCCAGGTAACAGAGGGAAGAAGAGCTAAACCTGGACAAGGAGGAACCAGCTTTGGGGAAAGGCTCCATTTTTGTCTTTTCTTTTCTATGCGAGGCTCAGAGATGCTGATTTGACATAGAGAGAGAGGCTTCTGCTCCTAAAAAGCACTGGATCTGAGAAATAGGAGAACCGTTCGTTGAGCTGGAAACTAAACACATCGCATTAGAAAACAATACTTTTTTTTTAAAGGACAAGTGCGTCATGGTGTATCATATAGGAAGACGACTCCATTTCTGAGCAATAGTTTATTTTCGTATTTGGTTTAATCTAGACTGGCTGGCGTGAAGAAGAAAGGATTGTTTCATTGTATCTAATCCATACCCACAACAACCACAAGGATTGTTTTATTCACGAAGAGTTCATCACGAAGCTGGCTGTCCTGAGTTCCCCTGCTTAAAAAAACAACACATAATAGAGCTCTTGCATAGACACTCCCCAAATATGTTCAAATATGACAATAGGATTTCTTAGTGGAATGTAATTTTTTTCCTTTCTGTGGTTTTGACAGGCATGTTGACGAGCTTGCTGCTTCTTTGATGGTGATGCTGGAGGTGGAGAAATGGGATCTCGATTGAATGCCAGGCTACTAATGCCAGAAATGCAGAGATGTCCCGGTGGTCATAGTAGGGAAACATTCAAGAGGTGTAGCTGTTCGTGTCATGGAACAGAAGAGAATGGAGGAATGTTCCTAAAACAGTTAAGAAGATTCACGTGGTGTGTGATTGATAAACAAATAGTTAAAGAATAAAATATCTTATTACTTTCAACACACTCAGATCTCCAAGGCCCCATGATCTGCATCCAGGATTACTGAAGGAACTGACTGAAGAATTTTCAGAACCAAATAATAATTTTATTGAAATCACGAAGGATGGTTGAAGTACCGGATGATTGGAAGAGGGCTTGTGTTGTTCCTATCTTCAGAAAGGGCAAAAAAGTAGGAACTGGGAAACTATAGACCGGTCAACCTGACATCAATCCCAGGGAAGATTCTGGAGCAGATTGTAAGGCAGTCACTCTACAAGCACCTCAAGAACAAATTCTGCTTCACTAATCTTATCCCATTTTTTGATCCGGTAACTTTTCTCATAGATGGTGGGAATGCTGTAGACATAATATACCTTGATTTCAGCAAAGCCTTTGACAAAGTGCTGAATGACAGTTTTATTAGCAAACCAACTAGGTATGGATTAGATACAAGTGACAGGTGGATACACAGTTGCTTACAGAATTGTACTCAGAGATTGCTTATCAATGGTTGCTCCTCAAACTGGGAGGACGTAATGTGGGATATGACAAGGCACAGTCTTGGGCCTGTGCTGTTCAATATTTTTATTAATGACTTGGATGAGGGAGTGCAGATAATACTTATAAAATTCACGGATGATACAAAATTGGGTAGAATAGCTAATACTATGGAAGACAGGAACAAAATTCAAAAAGATTTTGATAGGCTTGAGCACTGGGCTGAAAACAACAGATTAAAATTTCACAGGGAGGAGTGCTAAGTTATACATCTAGGGAGAAAAAACAAATGCACAGTTACAAGAAGGGGGGTATTTGGCTCAGTAATGGTATGACTGAGAAGGATTTTGGAATTGTTGTAGATGACAAGCTGAATATGAGCCAACAATACGATGTGACTGCAAAAAAGTCAAGTGCTATTTTAGGCTGCAATACGGTCAAGTGCTATTTTAGGCTGTATTAACAGAAGTATAGTCTAAAAATCATGTGAGGTACTAGTTCAGTCTCCCTCTGTTCAGCACTGGTTGTGCCTCTTCTAGAGTACTGTGTCCAGTTCTGCTCTTCTAGAGTACTGTGTCCGGTTCTGGACGCCATATTGAAGAAGGATGCCAACAAACTGGAACAAGTTCAGAGGAGGGCAACAATGATGATCAGGGGACTGGAAACCAAGTTCTTTGGGAAAGACTGAACAGGCATGTTTAGCCTTGAGAAAATAAGACTGAAGGGAGATATGATAGTGCGTTTCAAATACTTGAAGGGAGAGTCAGGATCTGTTCTTGATCATCCCAGGGAGATATGATAGTGCGCTTCAAATACTTGAAGGGCAGTCATGCAGAGGAGAGTCAGGATCTGTTCTTGATCATCCCAGAGTGCAGGGCATGTCATTAATGGGCCCAAGTTACAGAAACCAGACTTAGGCTGAATATTATGAAAAACTTCTTAACTGTTAGAGCAGTACAATAATGGAACCAGTTGTCTTGGGAGGTGGTGAGGTTCACCACTGGAGGCATTCAAGAGAAAGACACCCATCTGTCAGATGTACTTTGACTTGGATTCCTGTACTTAGTAGGGAGTTGGATTCAATGGCCTTCCACCAAGTTACAGAAACCAAACTTAGGCTGAATATTAGGAAAAACTTCTTAACTGTTAGAGCAGTACAATAATGGAACCAGTTGTCTTGGGAGGTGGTGAGGTTCACCACTGGAGGCATTCAAGAGAAAGACACCCATCTGTCAGATGTACTTTGACTTGGATTCCTGTACTTAGTAGGGAGTTGGATTCAATGGCCTTCCAACTCGGTGATACAATTATTCTATAATAGTTTGTTTTATAGTTTTATGTGTTGTAAGCCTCCTTGGGCCCCCTTTGGGGAGAAAGGGGGCATATAAATAGAATAATGCATAAAATAGCTCCTTAGTAAAATGATAAATGGTTTATTGTTGAAAAAGGGCCAAGTTTTCCATTACCTGAAACTTGGCCAATTAGACTGTTATTTGTTGTTCTAGGGGTTGTGATCTGCAGAGCAGTGGTTTCTCGTCATGATGGAGCAGTATGTGCTACTGGATCCACGGCAGAGGGCTTTGTATCAGGACGTCATGCAGGAAAGTTATGAGACGCTGATGGCACTTGGTAGGAATACATTTCCTTTTAGTGAGTAAAAGATACCTATGTTGTGTTCATTCTATAGTCTTTCTTTTAACCCTTTAAACTTTTGGGGAGGAAGGAAGTGACATTTAGCTTTACAGTGTCCATTCCCAAATTAGTGGTTTCCTATGTATAATCTGTTTTGTGGATTAATGTATTCTGTATGCAAGACTCCCCCGCATGTGTGTGTGCTAGAATGCATAACTATGTGCATTATGATGTTTGCTCAAAAGATAAGACATGCTTAAATAGGTAAGGGAACATCTTCTATTACAGTGATTTCTGCTTGTGAGTATATGCAAAATTCAAGTTATACCAAATATTTCAATTGACAATTTTCAGTCATGTGATTTTTGCTATTGCTGTAAAAAGAGACCTGGAGAGAGACCTGTGTGTGTCATGTGCCCCGAGACATTGTTCCAGGTATCTAATTCTGTGGTAAGCTCATAAATGGTCTAGGTGTGCGTATAGTGGCAACTCTGCTTATTTAAATTCCTTATTATAAGGCTACTTAAAGTTCTTTCATGATTATTTGAATAAACAAATAGATGCCGAATAGGCTTAAAGAACTGATGATAATGGACAGAACTTTGAGAGCTGTAGTTGATCTGACCTTTACAGCCCAGAAATATATAAAATAAGAATTGTCAAACATATTTCCAAATAAGTTCTGATTGCAGTTTCCTAATCATTGCATAAATAGAACCTCTAGATCAGAATATCTTGTTTTCAGATGAAAAGAAGTCTGCCTTCCAAACTACAGGTGTTGCCTTCAGAAGGACATGTCTGAGCATCTTTTTCTTACAAATTAAGTGTGGCTGATTGGATGTAACATATGCTAGGATGGGGCAGGTTTCAAGTGCTTACAGTCTGTGCTTAAAACCCCAAGACCTACCAGACACAAAACAGTGTTTCTGAGATTCCAGAACTGAGAGTCATACTTTACAATGAAGAAACCATGTAATTGTCACAGCTGAGGTTTTTTTGCATGTCCCGTAGCTTGCAAGATACCTTATTTTGTTTTATGATTGATGACGAGACAGATTAATTTGTGTATGATTACACAGGAACAAAGCTTCACCAAAATCGTTATCTCTAAACACGAATCTGCTTTCAATTTGTACTTGTATGCTATCTGCAATGCACAGTTTACAATGCTTTCTCATAAAAAACCAAACCTGATCCCTCAGAACCTATTTGGGTTGCGATGTTTCTATTGTTACGTAATGGGCAGTTAGTTCAACAAATTTTACTGATTCACTTGTCAATTCAGATAAAACAATCTGGCTATCTGTAAACTCTTACAGCTTTGGAACTGCAAGGGATCATGTTTGCTTGTTTTAGTTTAGATACATGATCCAAACTATCCTTGTCTTTCCACCTACCTCCACCTGTCTTTGCTCCGAGAAGAATTTCCACTGTCCAAGCCTGATTTGCTGTCCCATTTGGAACAAAGAGATGAAGCAACAGCATTTGACCTGCAGCATCCTAGAGGCAGCCCTCCAGGTGAGTCATGGATGAAAAGAACCAGATTTTATAAATGAAATCAATGCCTATTAAAATTCTTTAACTGATACATTTCACCAGCATTCTGTCCTCTGCTTGCCCAGTTATGGTGAAGAATTATTAACTAATTCTCTATAATTTCTCAAAAAATTTAAAATGGCTTCAGGTAATGTCTTTGATATTTAATGGTTTCTTTGGTTGTAGATAGATATATGTATATAAATTACACAGAATTCTGAATTTAAAAATCCCAGGTTCTGTAACTTTGACTACTGGCAGCCTGCAATGTGAGTATGGGTAAGGGGGTCCAATGGGGCAGGTTGAGGCAAAGACTCCTTCCTGCTCAGACCATAGACTGCCAGCAGTTAATACTTGCTAAGAAACGTGGAATACAGTGGGCCCACGACTTACAAACTTAATCCGTTCTGGAAAGACGTTTGTACCTCGAAAAGTTCGTACGTTGAAGTACCATTTCCCACTGAAACTCATGGGAACAGAATTAATCTGTTCCAGCATTTCAAAAAAAAAAAAAAAAACCAAAATAATAATAAAAAGAGCAAGTCCCACATTGGGACTGCAAAAACTCTCTCACACACACACACAAAACCACAGAAACATAAACCCCCCCAGTCTAAACCCCCCCTCCAAAACCCACACAGAAAAGTTTTAGGACTTCCCAGTCCGAAGCCTGCCGGTGCTCTGCTGCCTCCACACGGCCGGGGGCAAGCAGCCAGGCGCCCGGCCAGCTCTAGCCTCCCGGCACTGGGTGAGCTTCAGTGGCTCAGAAGCCAAAAAGACAGGGAGAAAGGGCGGGAAATTTGAATTTTCTGCCCTTCCTCCCTGCCTTTGGAGCTTTCAAAGAGCTTCCTCGCGGGAAAGCCCTTTGAAACCTCTGAAGGCACCGATCGCGGCGGTGGGGAGCCCCAGGGAGATCTCCCATGGTTGGGTAGTCAATAAGAGCTATGATGAAGAAATCACCACCAGCACAGGTGTAAGCAAACAGCAAAGCATGCCTCAC